ATTCACACAAAAATTGAGAAGAGAAGAAAATCAAGGAAAGACTTAGAGAGAAAAAACTTTTCTGAATTATTTCTGGCTGTTTTTTTTCGTGGATTTCTTGTTCCTGTTTTGATTTTGTTCTTCCATTTCCATCCTCAATGAAGTTCGACGCCCAGTATGATGTAAATGCTATCCATGTACATAATCATCAGTTTGATTATGATATAATTTTTAGGAATACCAATTTGCTTTGCATATACCATGTTCTTTTTGAGAGAGTGTATACTAACTTTTTCTGTGGAGATCAAAGAGGAAATATCCAAGGAAACATGTCGTGTTATAGTTTAGCAAATATTCATTCATTTACTCAGTTTCTGTGTCTGATATCTTTTGCACTGTCTTTTTCTAGTTGGTGCTACTTCCTCTAATAAATCCTTTTGTTGGAGAAAAAAATATATTGTGTGCTGCCTTACTCTCATCAATAGCTTATGTAAGTTGCATTTTCTTCTTCCTACTTGAATACTTGATTGGAAAATCTACACCAATCACAAATTGTAAACACTGATGGTGCTTGCTTTCCTTTGTACAGGCATGGTTCTATGGCTTGGCATGGGCCCCTTGGGTATGTACTTCGAATTTTTATTTCATCCTTTTGTACTTCCTTTATTTATAAGAGAAGTTGGATATGGAAATTCATTATGATTAAAAATAAACACTTCCAGATATTGCTGTTTGCATGTGTTTCTTTGTTATTTTATTTGATATATCTTAATAATTTTAAAAACTAAATAATTGATGATCAGTCATGGAATTGACAGGACTGATTTTATGACTTCCTTTTGCTCTCACCGTTTCAATTTTTGTGCGCTTGTGGCATGTTGTGCTCTTCTTTCCCTTTATCTTTTATAACTTACTTTGGCCAAGTTATGAGTAGATTACCTAAAAATAATCTTCAAAACACAGCCCCATTATAAAGAAAAAAAATCCTTAGACTAGAGTCAAATAGGTCAGGAGCTTGATTTTGAGCAAAACGTTTTGTTTCCGTATGTATTCTTTAAGTTCTATGTCGATGAAAGAAGTTTTCTCCAAAATGCAGGTACCATATTTAAGCGCTTCATTCGGAGTCATTTATGTTCTTGTGAAACCTTCGGTTAGTGATTTCTTAAATCTTATTTTCGTGGTTTCAATATAACCATCTGCCAACTATCATAGTCTAAATATTGATTTTTTTGGAATGCAGACATATGCTATTATTTCAAGAGCAGCAGGCGCAGCTAATCAGGTTTGCATAAGATGCAGTCACACTTCTGTTGCCTTCATTTCAACTTTTTTTGTAGAATGAACCTGCAAATTTGCAATATCTCTGATATATAATTTTTCTTCATTTTGTTTGATTCCCTTAAAGGATTTCAAGCAAATTAACCTCAGAAAGCTGGTTTCCTGCCTTTAGATCTGTGCATAAGCTGCCAAAGTTTGATTAGGTTAATGTTCGTGCTGATACAACGATTTTTATTTCTTATATGAAGTTTTTTGTTCATTGACAGGGAAAAGCACAAGGATTTGTTACTGGTGTTCAATCCCTTGGAAGTTTCTTATCACCGCTTGCAATGAGTCCACTTACTAGTATGTTGATTGGTCTATCTTCCTCCAAATGTTAAAATAAATCTGGATATGGTAAAAGTATTTTGTGAAATTTAATTGAATCACCATGGCTATGTTTAAAATAAACAGTCTATTGTTTTAGAATCCATTTGACAATAACACAGTTCAATTAAGAGAGGACGAAAATTTTGTTAGAACGTGATAAAAATTGATCTGATATAAAATTTCACGTGAAATTGCTAAACTAGGTGAGAATTTCCAAATAAATTCTAAACAAGAACTTCATTGTTTCAAACATAGCATATATTTATGGAAAACAGTAACGAGAGCATAAAACTTTTTTCAACTTTTTAATCAAATTTGATGAAATTTAAAATACATTTGTGCAATAAATTCTACAATGTTCATTTCACAGTGGCTGCTATAGTTTAAGGATAGTTAAAGGATAACTATATACGTAAAAGTATAGATTTATAAATAGATTACATATTTTTTCCTTTTTTGTTTGTGAAATTAATTTCTTACAAACACAGTTTAAAACGATCGCATTGCTAACCTGTTTCGTTGCTGTTTCAGCCTGGTTCTTGTCTAGTGATGCCCCTTTCGACTGCAAAGGTTTCAGCCTCATTTGTGCGTCTTTATGCTTGGTAACTCCCACCTCCCTTTCCGAAACATCTTTTTCTGACACTTGCATGCAAAAGCAACCAACTAAACTAAACGGAATTGTTAACGTTTAATTGTCAGATAATTGCTCTGTGTTTTGCTTGCCAACTGCCACCCGAAGCAGGCTCGAACCACACAAACCGCAAACAGGAAGAGGAGGATGTGGAGCAACCACTTTTATGTAACAGTTAATTGTATGGAGGAAGTAGAGTTCTTAGTGTTAGATACAAGTTTTGGAATAGTCCGCCTACTCTTCAAGCTTTTACCTCTTCTAGGTTCACTGAGAGTTTAAACTAGAGAAAGAAAAAGCACCCTTGTTTTTCTCTCTGATCATCTTGGATATTACTTTTATGTACACTGGTTTTGGATCCATGGGGGTGGGGTGTCTTCACCTTTATAAAATAATAGATAAATTATATTTTCTTTTCCTCATTTCAGCTCCATTTAAATTTTAAATATATAATACATACTATATATGTATTTTAGTTTTGTATATTTTAATATTTTGAAAATTTAATTAAATTAGCAGACTTTCAATCCCTGTGATGTGAATATTTAACTATTGAAAATAAACTTATTTGTAATTTAAAATTTAAAATTCTAAAATATATATAATCATAATTAGTATTATATATAAGTGGATGAAAGACAAGAAACTTATTTTTAATAAAAAATTTTAACGTTATTAAAATTATAGAATATGAGTAGATAATAATATTTTACAATTTTTTTTTTTTTGTATAACATACATATTTAATTTTAAAAATTTTAACGTATAAGAGAATAATAATATTTTTAATTTTATTTTCATATATTATATATATTTATAATTTTTATTTATATAATATATTATTTTTATAATGTATATAATATATTTATAATATATTCTCGACCCCGTTTGTTAAGTCACCACCCTTTCTCTCTCCCGGCTTCTACACGCTCTCTTTTTTTGCTTTCCCTCTCGAGGAAGCCCTCACTTGGCTGGCTGCTAACAATTTCGGATTGTGATTTTCTCCTTCTCTCTCTCTCTCTCGTGTTTTCTCTCTG